GTCCTTCCATACTCTATTGAATAGAAGTATTGATAATAAATATTTTTGTCTAGTTCCTGATTTTTGAGTTGGACCTTTCCATATTTTGCAAACGTTTACTAGTTTTTGTTTGTTAGTTTTAAGGTTGGTACCCTTTGTCAGATTAAGGAAATGTTATCATGAATGTGTTTTAAATTTACCAAATGCTTTTCTACATCTATTGACATGATATCATATCATTTTTCTTTCTTTTTTGTTTTTGTTTTTTTTCTTTGGTGCTCTGGTGCTGGAAATCATTTGTCTTTTTTCCCCTGAATTTTGCATTCCTGAAATAAATTGATATAAAATAAGGGATGTATTGTGATCATCTTTTTTTGTAAGGTTTGAATCAATTTACTAATGTCATATTAATATGGGGTTTGAATATTATGTTAATAAGAAAATGTAGAGGTTAATGGCCTTTCCCCTTTTAAAAAATAATGTTTTTTTTTTCCTTCTTTTAGCACAAGCCCACCTTACTGCTGTGTGGATTTATATTCACTTCGTACTGGGGAGATGGTCAAGTCCATTCAGTTTAAGACATCTATTTATGATCTCCACTGCAACAAACGGTAAGCATTTTTTCATGTTTCCGGTGTAATAAGTAACAAGAAGCGTGCTCTCCTGGGCATGGAGAGTTCTACCAATTTCATTGACTAACTTAGATTTATTAAAAAAAAAAATTTCAAGAAAACACCTTCTAAATTCTGTCTAGTGAAATATATTCAAACTTCCAGTCTTGACCCATTAGGAAATTGTGAATTTAGTATAGTGGAACATAACCAGCATTTGTAAAACAAAATGGAAAAGAATAGAAAGTATCTGAGCAAACATAGAAAGATTAAGTATTGTTCTGAGAAAGCTTTTTATATATATGACATAGCTTTTTTAATATGTATAATGTGTATGCTTTATATGTGTTTACTGGTTTATGATGTGAAATATAATTTTGCTGTGAGGACTCACCAAAACTTTTGAAAAGCGTGTTTCTGAACTGTTAAAAAATGCTTTAAAATATTTTTTATTCCTTCATGTTTCACAACAGAGCTAAAACAGGGACTAGAATGATTTTTATCCTTTAAAATTTATTTTGTTTAATTGCTGGAAAAATATTCAGATCTAGGTTGAACTTCTACCTGACCTGAAATTATGACAAGTTAACCATAGAACATTGTAGGAGAAAGGAACCATAGGAATCTTCTACTATTTAGCACTTTACTTTTACATTTGAGAAAACCAAATTCCTAGGTTGGTAAATATCTTGATTATTAGCTCTTAGATACAAAGTATAAATCTTCCATGTCTTCAAAATGCAAACACCTGAACCAGAAAATGAAATATTTTATCTCATTTCAATAAATTTAAGTGAATTGAATTAAATGAATTGGGAAGCTGAGGCAGGAGGATTGGTCCAGCCCAAGAGTTTGAGGTTACAGTGAACTATGACACCACCACTGCACTCTAGCCAAGGCAACAGAGTAAGACCCTGTCTCAGAAAAAGCAAGCAATTAAGAAAGAACAAACATAAATGTACTAGAAATCAGAAAAACAACAAAAAACTCTTCCTCTTATTTGTTTAAAATGTTTGTTCAGTTTTTAATTAAAGAAGAAATTAAAACTATAATTGGATATCATCCAAAAATTAATAGCAAAATACAGTAGCTTAAGGTACTTCATAAAAATATTTATGGTTCCCCACAGATAAATGTAGTCACTTATATCTGAATTGCTTTTCATTTTCTAAAAAGCATGCAGATCAATAACTGGAACATACAATATCACCTGTAGCCCCTAGTTAATTCATAACTACACAAGAGTGAATATTGCAACTTGAAATTCAGATTTGAAGCCAGTAGAGCTTGCAAGAGGTGACATGGCAGAGAGTGTGGAAGAAAGGAGAATATGGTGAGAATTCATTGATGCAGAAGGGACATAGCTAAACTATGATTTAGTCCTAAATGCATAGGTCAGGGAATCATTAGAGACCTAGGTAATTTAAAGCGCTAAGGAGTCAACAGGGCTTGGACACATGTGCAGGAACGAATATAGCCTTGAAAATTCCTTCTGGTGGTGTGGCAGGCATTTTAAAGGGGAATGTGTCTCCAAATAAATTAATAAAGAGAAGGTATAAAGTGAGCCTTACTCAAACAAGGCAGCAACACTAACTCAGAAGATTTACCCCTCCCTCACCGTAACTCCCTAAAAGGTACCATGTCTACCATGAGCAGTTATTCTGTGCCTACCCCATCATTGTGCAGTAGACTTTTAAACAATGTGAGGGTTAGGGGGGTGCTAGCTGCTGTGCAATCAAAAATCCACCTATAACTTTTGACCTCCTGAGAAAACCTAACTACTAATAGCCTACTGTTGATCGGAAGCCTTACTGATAACATAAAACAGTCAATTAGCACACATTTTTTATGTTATATGTATTTTATATATTCTTTTCTTACAATTAAGCAAACTAGCGAAAAGAAAATGTTATTAAGAAAGTTACAAAGAAGAGAAAATATATTTTCTATTCATTAAGCGGAAGTGGATCATGATAAAGGCCTTCATCCTCCTCTTCACATTGAGGAGGAAGAGGAAGAGGAGGAGTTGGTCTTGCTGTTTCAGAGGTGGCAGAGTGGAACAAATCCACATATAAGTGGACCTGCACAATAAAGAAAACCTGTGTTATTCAAGGGTCAACTGTATTTTTGCTGGGGGGGAGGAGGTCAGATAACTTGGCTTTTTAATTAACAGTCTTCAGATTGAGAGGAACTGTACTTGAGGCGCTGTATTTACCGAATTATACCCATGGATCTTCATCTGCACCTGGACCTGATTTAGATAATGAGACTCCATGATGTTGTTATAAATGGATGAGGTTTTGGGGATTTTCAGAGAGAGTGTGTATTTTTTTTTTATTTTGGAGGAATGTCAATAATTTAAATAAAATTTAAACAAAGTAACTGTGGAGGGTTTAAAATGTTCTTAGATTCTTTGACACTTTTCCCTTCAAATAGCAGAATTTAATTTCTTCAGCCTTGGGTGTGGGCTGGACTTAATGATTTAAACTTGTAATGACTAGAATAAAGTGGAAGTGCTGAGCAACTTGAGAGACCAAGTCATAAAAAGCAACAAGTCTTTCTCTTTGCTTTCTTATTTGGATTAAGGTGTAGATATGAGAAGGTGGGTATAATATTAGATGAATCGGTTGTAGATATCATATAGTCTGACATAGTAGGCATAATCTGAATTGAAAAAGTGAGGAGTAAAGAAAAGGGGAAGATGCTGTGGATGGGAGTCAAATAATGATAGATGATCAAGCCAATAGTAATAGCCTAAGAGGGAAGGAAATCTTCCCCCACGTAAAAGCAAAAAAACAATCTGTATCATGAAGGGGAGCTGAGGCCAAACATATTAATCATATTAATAAATGTAAGTAGGCCGGGCTCAGTGGCTCATGCCTGTAATCCTAGCACTCTGGGACGGCCAGGCGGGAGGATCATTTGAGGTCAGGAGTTTGAGACCAGCCTGAGCAACAGGAAGACCCCGTCTCTACTAAAAATAGAAAAATTACGTGGTGTGGTGGTTTGCTCCTGTAGTCCCAGCTACTGGGGAGGCTAAGGCAGGAGGATCACTTGAGCCCAGGAGTTTGAAGTTGCAGTGAGCTGTGATGATGCTACTGCACTCTAACCAGGGCAACAGACCAAGACTGTCTCAAAAAAAAAGTAAATTTATATCAATCACCTATAACAAAAATATTTTTGAATTGATTCAATAAACAAATGCAAGGATTAATCTCCTTGATGTCTGAAGACTTATTTAGAATTGGGAACACCAGGCACACTTATAAGATTGTATTTAATGAAAATCTCAACAGAAAAATAAGATCTTCAGGCTAGATCAATAGAAATTACAGAGTTTGAAGAGGAGAGATTAAAAACATAGAAAACAGCAGAGCTTCATGGGTCTATTGGACAGTATTAGAAGGTTTAAGAAGACAGAGATGTGAGGGTGAAAAAATCTGAAGAAATAATTTGAAAAATTTTCCCAAATTTTATGAAGTATATATATTTACATATTCATGATCTACAAGAACACCAAGCAGGAGAAATTAGAAGACTATTCCTAGGCACATCATAGTCAAATATTTGAAAACTAAAGTTGAAGAGGAAAACTTGAAAGCATCTTTAGAAAAACACTACATTGTATGTAGGGAAACAGCAATTTACAGGACTTCACTGAGAAGCACTCAGAAGAATGAAGAGCACTCAAAAAAAAACTTATGCTTCACCACTCCTACCTGCTTTCTACCCATGTAGTATGTCTATCTCCTTTCCTTCTGGATGAACTACCTTTGCTCCTACCTTCTACCTACACTTGTACATGTGTGTTAGTTCCCACCATGTGTATTAGTTCCCACCTTTCTCACCTATTCATCCAAATCTTTTCATCCTGACTGCACATCCCCTACCAGACACCCTTTCCAAATTTCTCAAATTAACAGTCCTCATTTGTCCCTACTGTTAAACACAAACACTTCTCTCCTCTAGTTTATATTGGCCTCCAAGTTCCTAAGTGTATTGGTCAGTTTTCAGATCTCATCTCACTGAGCTGTGTTTAAGAATCATTCACCAAATATTTATTAATTTGTTACTATGTACCAGGCACTAATTTCAGCCTTGTGGATTCATCAGTGAGCAAAAGTTCCCCTTTTTTTGAAACATTTTCTTCACCTGGTTTTTGGAATATCATTCTCTTGTTTTTTCTCTAACTTTACTGGGTTTCTTTACCAATGGCTAACTGTTGGAGTGCTTTCATCCTTGAATCTTTCTCTTTTCAACTGTGCTTCCTCTTCAGATGGTCTTATCTATTTTCATTAATTTAATACAATTAATTTACAATAGCCTATGCATTTCTGTCTTAACCTGTACCTCTGCCTTCTAGCCCCATGTCTTCCATTGCTTATATAATGACTGTATTTTGATGTCTAAATGAAATCTCAAATTTAACATTTCTAAGATGGAAACCTTATTAACCTCCTTTTCCAGCTATTCTTTCCATTTTAATAAATGGTAATTCTTCTTGCCTAGTTGCTTTGGTCCAAATCCTTTGGGCTGTTTAAAAAATTTGAGGTACAGTTCACATACCATAAAATCTACCCTTTTTAAAGTATACAGTATGAGTGGTTTTTAGTATAGTCACAAAGTTTTGCAGCTCTTAAAAATAATTTTGGGCATTATTTCCCATTTTTCTTTTTCATGTCTATGGAAAGAACTAATGTAATTTTTTTTTTTTTTAGTAAAAGGCAAAAGATTTATTTGATATGAAGAGAAACCAGAGTATACTAATGTATTTTTTTTTTAATTCAGTTTCTGTAGAGACTGTCAAAAATTGCTAATGCTGACTATATTACAAGTTGTCACAGCACGGTATTTGGAAAAGTTTTCTATAAGCAATAATCATGCCTCGATGAACCTCATTGGCTGTGATACTGTCACTGTACAAAATTAATCTATTTTCTGTTACTATGGATTTACCTGTTCTGGACATTTCATGTAAATGGAGTGCAATATGTGGTCTT